ATTCATGGAAGGGTTGAGGACAGACTGCAGGGATCCCAAATCCATGGCTGAGATGAGGACAGACTGCAGGGATCCCAAATCCATGGATGGCAGGAGGACACTGCAGGGATCCCAAACCCAGGGATGGGAGGAGGACACTGCAGGGATCCCAAATCCATGGCTGGGAGGAGGACAGACTGCAGGGATCCCAAATCCATGGATGGCAAGAGGACAGACTGCAGGGATCCCAAATCCATGGATGGCAGGAGGACACTGCAGGGATCCCAAACCCAGGGATGGGAGGAGGACACTGCAGGGATCCCAAATCCATGGCTGGGAGGAGGACAGACTGCAGGGATCCCAAATCCATGGATGGCAGGAGGACAGACTGCAGGGATCCCAAATCCATGGATGGCAGGAGGACAGACTGCAGGGATCCCAAATCCATGGATGGCAGGAGGACAGACTGCAGGGATCCCAAACCCCTCCTGCTCGTGCACCAACACCAGAAACCCCAAACCACTTTGGCCCTGGGGTCATTTGGCCCCCGTTTCTCCATCGCTCCCAAACCACTCGGAAAAGGCAACTTTCACCTGCTAAAACCACCTGCGACATTCCCAAGGCTCCCAGCCCACTTCTCAAGGACACAGAGGGAACACAACGGGGGTTTAGGCCAGGAAGGAACTGCCAACTCTTTAATGGTACGTGGCGGGGCCGCCGGCACAGCCCGGATACAGCGCGGAACAGCCCCGGCCCTGCGCACGCTCCGGCTCCAGCCGCGTCCTCCTGCCCTCCCTCGGGGCCTTGGAGCTCCTCCAAGGACTCCTCACATCCGGCTCTGGATCATCCCGGTGTCTCACGGCGCGTCCGGAGGGCGGGAGCTCCGGCAGGAATCCTCCTCCCCACACGGAGACCGCCGGGAATGGCCCTCTGGATCTTCGCGTCCCGGGTGGCTCCAGGAGTTGGGAAGGGGCCGCCACAGCAGGAAGGGGACGTTTTCTGAGGCAGGTCCAAGGTGCTAAACTACTCGGTGTGGAACTCATTCACAAACCCGGTGCCTAAAGGGACGTTTAAAATCCCAGCGGGAGCCGCGTCCTGCTCTTCCTAAGGTTCTGCTTCCGACACGTCCCTGCGCCCCCGGAGGGGATGTGTGGCACCCCTGGGACGGGCAGGGGTTGGGGGGGGACAGGGCCAGCAGGAACCCTCAAAGCCCCTCGGAGCCAGGCTCTCCAGGAAAAAAAAACAAACATCCGTGTGGTTCCCTGGTGTCGGGGGTTTGTCGACGAGGAAAAAAAACACAGCTACGAACGCCACAATTTCAGCGACCACAGTGGGGATCAGCTCCTCGGGGCAAAGCACACACGACATCGTGACTAAGCTACTCCTCTCCCGTCCCCTCCCGGTGACGATGCTCCTTTCCACGAGTCCTGGACCTCTGGATCCACCCGGATGACTGACGGGTCTCGGCTCCTCTCAGAGCCAGGGAAGGGTTACGGGCGACAGGCACTGAACTGTCACAGTCCGAAGGGGATTGGTCGTCAGCACAGACCATGGAAGCTCAGGTTTGATCCGCTCCAAGTCCTGCATTCCTGGCAGGGAAAGCCACTGTGCCATTATCCAGAGCAGAGGGATGAGGCAGGGAAGCAGACGGAGGCGCCGAGGTGCTCCCGGAGCAGATCCAGCGGTGCCGACCCCCCTCCATCCCCTCGGCCTCTGCCGGGACACGCGGCTGGAGCGGGATGGGAGGGTCCTTTTATTCCAGCGGAGAAATCGCAGGGCTCAGGCCACTCCAGCCCGGGAGAAGGTGAGAACTTGAGAGCAACAAAAGCAACACACCTTTCACTGCAACCCTGCAGCACCACGGGAGGAGGCTCGTGGGCCAGGAACACGGCCGGGATGGAGCTGCCAAGGAATCTGCTCCCGTCAACAACCCCCTCAGCGGCATCCGGGACTGGTTTGGAATATTTGAGGGAAAATAAAAAAATCGTCCCCACAGTTATGGCTGGATGGGGAACACCCAGAGGAGTGAACCCCTTGGAATATGTCAGCGGTGAGGGGGCGGCCCCGGGAGGTCGCAGGGAGCAGATCCCACCGATCCACTCAAAAGTGACAACGTGGTGTTTTTTGGGAAGGAGGGGACTAAGGTTCTGCTGCGTGGACTGCCCCGGGTCCCACCGCTGCTCCGTGAGCTGGGGGGGCATAAATAAAAAAAAAACAAAACAACTGGAGGAGGAGGAGGAGGAGGAGGGAGGAGAAGAAAAAAAACCCAAAATAAATACATTGGCTCCCGTGGAGTCAGAAGTGGTTTGGGCTGTGCCGTGGGGAGGGGGGGAAAAAAAGGAAGGGGGGAGAGGGGCCAAATTTACACACGTGGAGACAGAGTGGGAAGCGCTGGAAGGAGCAGAGGGAGAGCCCAGGTTCGCTCTAAGTGTCCTCGTTCATGTCCTGGCTGTCTGTCCGAGCGATTTTCCGCGGAGGCGCCGAGTTCTCCCCCTCGATCTCCACCTGCTCCTGGTCTCGCTTCTTCGCCGCATTCTGGGGGGACAGAGGGACCCCTGTGAGCCACCCAGGGCCTGCATCCCACCGGGAATGAGAGACCCCTGTGAGCCCCTCCAGGACCTGCATCCCACCTGCATCCCATCGGGAATGAGGGACCCCTGTGAGCCCCCCCAGGACCTGCATCCCACCTGCATCCCGCTGGGAATGAGGGACCCCCGTGAGACCCAGGCCCTGCATCCCACCGGGAATGAGGGACCCCTGTGAGCCCCTCCAGGACCTGCATCCCACTGGGAATGAGCCCCCCTAGGCCCTGCATCCCATTGGGAATGAGGGACTCCTGTGAGCCCCCCCGAGCTCTGCATCCCACCGGGAATGAGGGCCCAGGAATGAGGGACCCCCGTGAGCCCCCCAGGCCCTGCATCCCACTGGGAATGAGGCACCTGAACTTCCCAAACCTCCCAAATCCTTGTCACACACAAACATTTCCTTTTCAGCCTCCCCATTCCTTCCAATTTTCCCTCTCTCCACGTTCTCCTCTCTCTCTGCCCTGCCCCCTGGTTACCCCAGGATGATGGATCCACGATGGAACTGGGCATTCCCAAATTCCAGGCTAAACCTGGAGTTAATTGAGCTTTTTTTATGTCCTTTACATTCCAAAACAAATCAGGTTTTTCTTCCATTTCCAAGTGCTGGGCAGAGCCAGAACCTCCTCACACCCTCTTTGCTGAGCTGTTCCCACTTGATTTTAACTAACCCTCAATATTTTGATGATTCTTCAGCCCAATTAAGCCCCAATCAAGCCAAAACATGAATATTAAAGCCTCAAAAAGGTACCTTTTTGTCCCACTGCTGGTGTAAATAACGCAAGAGGATATTTGTCTTTTCTGTTACTATGACTGAAAAAAAACACAAAAAGAGAAAAAACACACCAGGGTCATTTTAAAGACAAGTCTCAAATCATTTTAACTCTCAAACATTTTAACTCTCAAACAAACATTTTAACTCTCAAACCATTTTAACTCTCAAACCTTTTAACTCTCAAACCATTTTAACTCTCAAACCAACATTTTAACTCTCAAATCATTTTAACTCTCAAACCATTTTAACCCTCAAACCATTTTAACCCTCAACCATTTTAACTCTCAAACCATTTTAACTCTCAAACCATTTTAACCCTCAAACCATTTTAACT